ATATTGACATATTAACATTATTATTGTTCTAAAATGAAAACATATTAATTAATTTATTACATAGAGAATAGGAGTAGATAGATACAAAAAAACGAGCAAGTAAACAATTATTTTACATATAATTAATTAGTAAACATTTTACATATAATAGGCTTGTATGGAATTATATATTTAAGGAAAGAAACAAATTTAATAAAATAAAGTAATAACTTTAATAAAATAAATAATTTAATAAAATATAAACAATTGTTTAATCTTCAAGCAAGGACCGAATTTTAGTACAAATATAACAAGTTGAACACCTTTTTCTCAATCTACACTTGTCAGCACAATAGTCATAAAGAAATAATCCGAGTACATTATTAGTCAATTTGAATTAGTACTTAGTATAGTGTATTTAGGTTATAATCCAATCATCATTAAATATCAACACATCACAAAGATTTATAAAACATTATTGTATTTTCTGATTATCTAATAAATAAATAAAATAATTCTATACAAACGATTTCTAAGAATCTGCAACGTATGCATAAGAAAGAGGTCATGCACCACCAAAACCACTATTATCATTGATTATCAAACTATTCATCATTCCATGATTGGACTTAGTAAATTGTCATTATAATGAAATAATAAATAAATACAAATTATTGATAGGAAGATATACAATAAAAAGAATTATAATGTGTCGATTGTGTTTTTTGTTTAAAAAACATTGATAATGAATTAGATCCACATAGACGATTAATAATTTTTATAAATGGGTTTCATTCATTAGGCTGTATATAATATATAAGTCCTAGTTTCATCTGATTTGAAACACTTTGAAAATGAATATGATTAAACCTTTCCGGCAGTCAGATTTAAATTGAAAAAAAGAAAGATCTACAAATATTAAGTTTTTTAAGTGAGTCGCATTTTTGAGAATGTTTCTGAAATTTTGACCTCAAGATTTAGAATGTATAAAACAAACTGAGACAAACTATTGAATAAAGACATATCATCACACCTGGTTTAAACTCTTATGATTATGAGTAACTTCATCAGCAAAATACAGGAAACATTATGTACACTATTTCAACAATGAGGAAAAAGTATACCTTAGTAGGATATAACTTTATCATGAGATGATTATAATTACTATTATTTATGAGTCAGATATGAACTTACTTGATAACAGTCAATTTCATCCACACTTGAACGAGAAGATTTTATCATTGTTTGATCGTCATCCAAAAATTTTAAAAGATTAAAATACCATAATGTAGGTACGTATTCAGTCCCAGATAGTTTAGACTCTTCTACCTTTTTCTTTTCTTTTCGGTAGGTCGTCCGTAGGGCATTAATTTTTTTTACAATGGTGTCACGATCGGCTTTTGGTTCTATTTTTTTATATAAAACTATTAATTTATTATATGCATTTGTTTTCTTTTCTCTATTGTGATAATCTTCGTGTTTCATTTGCCAAAGACAAGGTTGATTTCTATATGTATCAATAAATTCCTCCAAAATCCTTCTAAATCCATATGATTCGTAATGATTTGTCATGTTTTTTATTAACTGTTCACTTTAATTTTAGCCATTTATTACAGAAAATAGCATGTTTAATGTTTGTTTATTCCATTATTATTATATTGTCTTAGGTCTATATTTATAGAAAACATAAACAACGTGTGTTAGTGTCAATACATTGTCAAGAGGTCAAGAGTGCTACTAAAGCGTGACATGCGCTACCAACCATAGCATAAAAATTTTTTAGAAAGCATAGATAAATAAACATAAAGAAAGCCATAATGGCTCGTCTCCATTGCACGAACCCGTACGGCAAACAGGAAACCGTTGCGAACAGTATTCGCCGTGCGCGTCCGTGCAATGAGGCGTACATTAGTAGTCCCTGGATGCTTATTTATCTATGCCTGGATAATTCACGCATTCACGCTTCATCCGCAATTGTAAGAGCGTCTTTTTGAATTGCAATAAACATATACTTATTCATATATGACAATAAATATATTGCCTTCTATAAAGCCATCATCAAACCAATTTGGACATACGGCATACAGCTATGGGGATCAACTTCCAACTCAAACGCTTTAATAATTCAAAGATTTCAAAACAAGTTATTAAAAGAAATTTTGAAAGCACCAAAGTATGTTCCAAATTGGTTAATACACAAAGACACAGGCACTAGCACAGTTAAGGATGAAATAATCGCTTACTCACACAAATATAGAAATCGCCTAGCTGATCACCCAAACTTGCTCGCGAGAAAACTTCAAATCAACTCTACCAGGGCCCGATTAAAAAGAAAATTTCTTCTGCACTAATCAACAATAGATAAGACCTTCGACAAATCACTGGCAATGGTCAGATGATTTGTATTTTGCCAACGCCTTCAGTTTCATGTCAAATATTTTACTTGTTGTCCGTTTCAGGACAGTTGTAAAAATTATTAAAATAATAAAAAAAAAATATATTGCCTTCAAGCCGCATCCAAAAAATTCCATGGAGTACTTCTTCACTAATAAATTTATCATATACTAATGAACTAAAAATACCAATGGTGTGAGCATTGTGCCATAAGGGTTTATATACACTTAATCAGCCAAAATGCCATTTTTCTATAATTTTTCATGTGAAAACTATTAAATGTGTCGATACAAAAATTCATACACAATTACAGGTAAAAATATTTGTTAGAAAAAATGTAACAACAGATCTGCGGGAGCACCTCTCGAAAAACACGTTTTGCGGTGACTCGATCTCTGAAGAAAATCATCCGAAATTAAAAAACCAAAAAGATTTCAATAAAGAAATGATAAATCTAGTAATTAATCGAATAAATAAGCAAAATAATAACTTGTGACAGAATGGCGGTTTCTTATAAAAAAAACGGGTATTAGCCGAAATGTTGACCTTAAATTGTTCATAAAAACCAAAATATTTATCGGATAGAAAAAATCTTCGATTAATCACAAATAATATACTTAAGAAGATTATGTTAAAATTTGAGTCAAATCGGATTGGCCGTTTTTGAGTTATGTTGGTCACCGATTTTGAAAACACCATTTCGAAAGTTAAAACAAAAGTTAAAATTATTTATTTCAATTATATAAGTGATGAGCTTTAGAATTTTAGCTAAAATTAAAATTAAAATCCGAATTATTTTCGATATTCAAAACAAAAATTTTAAACAAGGTCTACGACATCGTGCCTTAAGGCAAATTGCGGTAACTCTCCGTACCGTAATGAAATGTTCGAGGAATATTAAATGTTTTCAAATAAATTAGATTGATATAAATACTGTTATAAGAATATTTATAAGAATTATATAAACTGAATTACAAAGTTAAAATTATTTATTTAAAGTATACAGGTGAGCTTTAGAATCTGAATTATTTTTGATATACAAAAAAAAAGAAATATTTTTTTTTCTAAAAGCAATCGTTTTGTCAACACAAGCAGAAAGTTTTTTTAATCATTCAAATCGAATGCTTAGTTCTCTCAAAAACTGCCATTTTTTTCGTATCTTTAAAATGGCTAGACTTGCTTTTGCCAAAATCTAATCACCACTTCTCACAATCATTACAAATTGAATGTTTTTTGAATCGTTCAAATCGGATACTCCGTTCTCTCAAAAACTCGATTTCTATTTTCTGCACTCTTTGCTCCGTATCTCCGTAACGGCTGGACCTGCCTTTGCCAAAAACTAATCAGCACATCTCCCTATCAATGGAAATCGAACGTTTTTTGAACCATTCAAATCGGTTGATCCGTGCGCTCGAAATCGCGAACAAAAATTGCGTATATACAAAATATACACACACACATCAATTTTTTCTGAGGTATGCCCAAATGTTCAAAAACCTCTGAAACTTTCGACTTTCGACCCATAATATAACTTACCCTACGGGAAGTTAATAATTTCTGTCGCCAAGAATAATCAAGCAAATTTTTAGAAAACGTGGACAAAAAAATGAGGTTTGCCAAAATGTTCAAAAACCTCTGAAACGTGAAGATATGCAAAAATTTTCAAAGAACCTTTGAAACTTGATTTTTTGAATGATTCAAATCAGATGCTTCGTTCTCTCAAAAACTACCATTTTTTGCACACTTAGCACCATATCTCCAAAATGATTGGTTCTGGCTTTGCCAAAAACTAATCACCACTTCCCTGCATCATTACGAATTGAATGTTGTTTGAACCATTGAAATCGGATGCTCCGCGATCTCAAAAACTCGATGAATATTTTGTGCACTCTTTGCTTTGTATCTCCGAAACGGCTGGACCTGTCTTTGCCAAAAACTAATCAGCACGTCTCCCCATCAGTAGGAATCAAATGTTTTTTGAATATTCCAAATCGATTGAAACGTACGCCCGCAATCGTAGACAAAAAACACAATATCCACACAAAAAACACACACACACATACATCCATTTTTTCTAAGGTATGCCAAAATATTCAGAATTCTCTGAAACGTAAAGATAAGGAAAAATATTCATTTTCGATTTTTGGACGATTACTATAACTTAGCCTACGCGAAGTTAATAACACGAAATATTCAATACGTAACGTATTCGCATTATAACCTATATAGAATATAAAGATAAATAAACATAAATATGAATCTATTTGCTATAAAATAAAACTCTTATTTATATTTTTTCGTGAATGATTTGAATCTGATCACAAGTTCAAAGATGACTATAGAAATATATTGTTCATTGTTAATTAAAGAAATTTAACATGCCAAAAATTGCCTACCTTTACCCATATTTACGAAAAACTAACCACCAATTTATATCTTTCATTTGCACTGAAATCATAATCACCGAAGTTAATAAAGTTACAGCACTTTTTCAAATTCAATTAGCACTTCAATTAATTTTCACTAATAACGACCTCGTCCATTAGCGTAACACTACTTAGTAACTTTTAGAACGGACGCCCGTGCGTTCCTGTAACACTGTCCTTAAAGTATACAAATCTAACAAAATTTAACATTTTCACTTCTTAGGATTTGTTTTTAAATTGTTGTTACGTTGCATAACCTATTTCTTGCACATGTAGTTTCACGTTTGACGTTTGAAGGTTTTCGGTACAATGAATAGGGGTTAAGTAAATAATATCTCAAATATAAAAGTACATTCGACATAAACAAAATATTTACAGGTGGGCGAAGTAGTTGAATGAGTGCTAATATTCATTATTTATTTTGCTATTTTTATTTCAGCGCATATGCTTCAAAATATGTAGCGCTCTTATTAGAACACAATCTGTATTATTTATTATTTATTGTTGATTAGTTTTGAGAACGTTACTATTATCCTCCACTGTTTCAGTATAGGTAGAGTGATTTATAGTATTTATTATTATTAAATGACAAAAACACAAAATCATTCAATATATAAAGAAATTTTTGAAAAGTTAAATAGTTTAAACTTATAAGTAATTATTATAGTTTTTAGTGCTATGTTAAAGTTTAGGATGCATATATGTGTTTGCATTTACATAATGTACAATATAATTATATTGCACATTGCGTACACATAGTATAAGGAACTTTAGACGAGTCTTCTATTCTATGTAAGCGATTTTATATATATATATATATATATATATATATATAATGCAATACAAATAATTATAATAAAACTAGTATCACCATATAATTGGGCATTTAACTCTACCTATTCTAGAAAGAACAACCGTTTGGGTAGCCGTCTTCAAAACCAACATAGTTAGGGCTGATTGCTGTTCAAATAATAATAATAAAAGTAGTATCACCATCAGCAACTTTGTCTCACAATGAAAATATTGAATTGATGATAACAATTGTTTAAAAACAATTATTATTATACATGTTTATTAAGATGTAAATACGAATACACTACACTCAGTTTTTATCACAAACTTTAGTTCTAGAAATTACAGATGTTTCGAGATTAATGTATGTCTCATCTTCAGTGTAAATTATTTTGAAAATATGATTATTGAAACATTATAAAATATTAAGTATTAATTATTACCAACTTTCTCTAACAAGGCTAGACACTATACTGAAACACATAAAGTGTGTGTGGGTATGTTTAAAAAACCAATTCATAGGTACTTATAGCTAAAGGTAAAAGGATAGACAGTGTCTATTAGACACGATAGATATTTTTATAATGTAAACAAATGAATGAGCGCTTTGTATACTAAAATCACTAAATATTTTATAATGTTTCAATAATTACATTATTAAAAAGAATTTACATTGAAGATGAGACATTTCTTAGTCTCGAAACATCTGTAATTTCATGAATTAAAGTTTATGATAAAAACTGAGTGTAGTGTGCTCATATTTGCATCTTAATATTCAATCCACTCTTAATACCAAATCTTTATATATATATATATATATATATATATATATATATATATATATATATATTAATTTAGAAATATGAACAAACAGCATGAAATATAATCAAGTTAGCAAGAACAGTTTTAAGGGATAACACAAAATGCTATTTTAGAATTTAAATTATAACACACTGATGATGAGACAAATCACATATTGTAGTGCAAAGATATATAGTATTTGTTGATTTATAACACTGAAAATTTGTTGGTTTATATGCACTGAATTTTTTTTCTTTTCTTTAATAACAAATTATTTTTTTATTTCAGTATGTCATCAGCCAATTTAAAATCCTTATCAACTGCTGATACAGATTACAGTGCTGATTCTGTAGAGTGGTGTCCTCACGAGCCCCATCAAAACATATTTGTTTGTGGAACTTATCAATTATCTCAAAATGAAACCCAAAACAGCATAATGAAAAATGACCTACCTCACAAACGTGTTGGAAAAATGCTTCTTTATAAATACTTAGGAGATCAAAATTTAGTACTTTTACAAACTAAATTTACTAGTGCCATTCTTGATCAGAAATGGTGTCATAATCAAATCAATGGAAAGTCTTTATTGGGTGTTGTTAATGCTGATGGATTTTTACAAATTTATGAATTGATTATTATAGAAAAAGAAATATCTTTAGAATTATTTGTAGAAGTTTGTGTAAATAGTGAATTTGAAGACAATTTAGCTTTATCATTAGATTGGAATACTGGTCGTAATGAAAGTCAAAATCCAGATGTGATAGTAACTGATTCGAAAGGTTACGCAACTGTTTGGAATTTAAATGCTACTGGTTTGGAAATGAAACACAGATTTTATGCTCATGAATTTGAGGCTTGGATAGGTGCATTTGATTATTGGGACACAAATATCATTTACACAGGTAAAATTTTTTTATGTAGCAATTGCAATAATTAGATTAATTAATAAAAGAAATATATAGAATAATGTAACTATTTTAACAAAGAAAAAGGTTTTACATTGTACTATCTGTATATTTTATCAGCCTTTCTCTAACTGTAATTACAGTTTCTGATAGTATAGTTATATTATACTATTATACTAAATAACTTTTCAAATTCTCATTGAATTTTTTCGAGTGTTGATTGATGTCTATGGTATATTGCAGGTGGAGACGATTGCAAATTCAAAATATATGATCTGAGATGTGGTGTATCTATTAATTGTAGCCGCTGCCACAATGGTGGAGTGACCAGTATGCACAGCAACAAATTACATCAGTATTATTTAGCTACAGGAAGGTTGGTTTGACACTTTTTTATACTCGTGCTGATTCAAGGATAAAAACTGCATTATCTGCTAGTATAATAATTGAATTTTCGCATCTAACAGTTAATACATTTCTCGAGTTTGTTTCCATAGTATAATATCAAAGACCCCCCATGCTAGATCTATTAACATTTTGGTTTCAATCTGACAAAAGAATTACCTTTATAGTTATGATGAGAATCTACTTCTGTGGGATACACGCCAAAGAAAGACACCTTTGAGCACGACCAGCCTAAATGGTGGTGTTTGGAGATTAAAGTGGGATCCTTTCACTTGTCAAACTCTGTTGGCGGCTTGTATGTATAATGGATTTCATATTATAAACTGCAAAAATCTCAGTGAAAATCCTTCAGTAATAGCAGAATATCACGAACATGAAAGCATAGCTTATGGGGCAGACTGGAGCTACCTGAAATTGAATACAAGCAGTAATAGTGCAAATGAATCAAATGAAAAATTATTAGCAATATGTTCTTTTTATGATCACACATTGAGTGTTCTAAAATTAAGCGATGAATAATTATTTCATTAAAACGATATAATGATACATATATACATAAACATAATATATACATATATATTTTAGTATAATATAATAAAATAATAATATTCAATTTTATGTAATGTTGCAAATAAAAAGTTTATTTTAAAAACTCCAAACAAAATCAATAAATAGTTATTCCTGCAAATGATTTATTGTTTTTAGGTTTTCAACTGTAAACTGATTTACAAAAACCCAAAAGCGAAATGAATTTTGTTTTAGTACAGGAATACCCTGTTTAACACGGGGGATACGTTCCATCAAAGTAGAGCGCAGTTCGAAACAGCGCTAAACGAGGCTATCTTTACATGGAAAATTAATACCACATCATTATTTCTTGCAAAAATAAATACAAAATATAAATACCAAAACGAATATTCTTGAAAAAACAAATAACATTTTAAGTCAGTCATATTTAGTTAGCCTTCTGCGTTTTCAGTGTTTTGCCGTTTTGTGACAAAAGCATCTAATGTTGTTTCACTTTTTCTTTTGCGTTGTCCTCTTGAAAGTTCTTCATAAACAGATAGAGCATCTCTAACAATAAGCCTTACTTTAGAACTCCTGTCAAAATTCAGATCATTTTCAGTGAAATGATCCATTATTTCAGTTTTGGTAGACAAACTTCTTTTTACAAACACCATCGAAAGTTATTTTTGCTTTTTCGCTGAATCACTTCTGTCAACATTTTTGTTTTCTTCTTGTTCAGTTCATTCCTCACCATTAAAAAAACTGCGCTGCTTCTTGAATTATTTCTTTGACATCTTCATCATTTATCCCTTCAAAACGTGGGTTGAAATAAAAGAGCGCTAAACCGAAACAGCGCTAAACGATACGGCGTTAAACGGGGTATTACTGTATTATTATATTACCAGACCGTTCATGTGTTAATCATGTCACGTCCATCATTAGTAGGTTTACAAAAAAAAAAATAACACTTAAAAGTAAGATATTTATTATAATCTTCAACTTTTATCCACAATTGCAACTTTTAATATCATGACACAAAATAAATATAATTTATTATTTTGGCAAGTTGTTTTATAATTAAACAAATTAATGTTTATATAATTCCACACTTCCTCTACAACTATTTCAAATTCTAACACACATAACTTTACAATTGCAATTACTAAACATTGTATACTAATCATATTACAGATATATCATGTACTTTTTCAGACTATATATATATATATATATATATATATATATATATATATATATATATATATATATATATATATATATATATATATATATATATATAAAGAATACCATGTACATAAAATAGATAGAAATTAAGGTATTTTATTAATGACAAAATTAACCAATGCTCTTATTTGTATGAACATGGTGTATTTCAAGATTTTTGAAAAATTTAATTCTAAATCATATTCAGACTTAAATTTGTCAATCTCGAGTTTTCAATTATAACAATGCATTATAATCAACTTAACTTATTTAATAATAGTATGCATAATTACAATATGCTTTGGTTCTGAATAAAGTGAATGTTCACACCGCAATAGTACATTTTTATATTGCAGTATATATATTTAGAGAGCTTAAATTAGCCGTATTACTTCTTTCCCTTCACAGACAGAAGTTTTAAACTCAATATGAGCTGTAATTCCACTCTAAAAATATTTGATTGGATTTGAATATAATTGATCTGTTATGCAAATTTATTTCTTGTTTACTAACTCATAAAATAATAAAAACATTAGTTAAATGAATCAATAAAAAAAGTAAATCGGTGAATTTGTTTACAAATCTATATGATTTTCACACAACAATTGTATGATTTTATACATAGAATCAAAGTAGGTTCATGAAACTGATTATCGGTCTGAATTTTTAATAACTCACGTGAGAAACTTTTGTTAAATTAGCATATGTAGGAAGACATCAATTCCGCATAAATTAGAAGATTTACATGATACTATACCAATAAAAATTTAATTCTATGTGGCAGACTATGATTTTTAATTTTGGCATGCAAAAGATAAAAAAAAAACATTCCTATTTTGCGTGGCATATTTTAAATCTTGGAAGTTAAATCTCGTCAATTTCAAAGTACATCAGACTGTTGTAAATGAACCATACAACCTCAATTCTAAATGTGTTCTATTCTGCATAACAAATAAAACTGGAAGATAACATATAGATTTGAAAAAGAAAACCAACATATTGAATTAATATAGCAAATTTGAATTTGAATAATTTCCAAATAAAAATATAAACAATTTAAATTTAGTCCTATCAACTGATGATTTGAAAAATAAGGTTTATTAAATTTATATTGTAAAAAAAATTATTGGCCTTAGGTTTTCTATATTGTACTTTTTATCATTTCTCAATATATTTTGCTTGATTTATTAGGTTTTCAAATCCAAGTATTAAAACATGACAATTTTATTAAGTACATGAATGCACATTACGTATATTGTTGATATATCTTTTGTTCCTCATTTCCCTATAGTAACATATTTAAAAGTAAATACTATGGTACATAGTCAAACTTATTGCATATAATAATTTTATAAAAACTAAATATAGATAAATATCAACTAAATTCCGCTTAATTAATATCTGTATTACATTTCCCTGAATAATGTATAATATCTAAATTATACACACTAAATTAAACAACTATCACTCAAAATATAATTGTTTCAGTGATGTTTGTGCGATAATTTTCAAATTCTATTTGAATTGAGATCTGTTTGCAATATGATTTAATATCGAAATAATATCAAAATATTCGACATACATCACAATCTTATGCAAAATTATTATGAAGGTACTTGAGTTCACTATATATTAACTACAACAAGAGCGAATGCTTTGGTTATTATTTTAACCTCAATCATTTCTAGAAATTAAGCCCACAGTTAAATGTTGCCCATCAGTTAAAAGTTCTGTTGCAAAACAAATTATTATTTCATCCGCAGTATTCAAATTTTAAAAAAACTGTCTGAAGAATAGTCACAGTATTATTTTCGTAATTTGTATGAATGAATTTATTCTGCATAGCTTAAATTCCAGAAGATAATAAAAATAATTCAAATTAGTAAAATAAAAATGATGGGTTCTACTAACACAAAATCCAATTTATGCACTTCTCTTTCAACAATCTATTGGCTATCTCACAATTAAAAAAATATCATTGCGGTACTTGTATCTGATTAGTTTGTCATGATTTTCATTGAGTTCATCCAGAATTCAACTCCTATTTCATTGAACACTGTATATATATATATATATATATATATATATATATATATATATATATATATAGTGTTCAAATTAATTACAGCTATCTATTTTTTAAGCACATATAATGTTATTAAGCAATCGATTGATAGCATTGTAAAGCTTTACAGTTTGCCAGTAACATAATACAGATATATCCAAGGGAAGAAGTAAGTAATCCATAGACAATTGTATCCAATCAGTGTAATTATTACATTGTTTTATACATTTTACTGGTCTATTACAAAGGTAATGCAACGAGGTAAAGATGAAGATTTTGTTAAGCTATACAATGCTATAAATCGGATCTGTCATACGTGGTATTAAAAAACACTCATCCTCTCGAAGACGTCAATTCTGGATATAAATAGTTCAAAATAGCATAGTAATGCACAGCGGCGGCTAATACAACAAACAAATGCCATATCGCGTGGGCACACGGTATGGAACCATCAGCCTTGAAGAAGAAAACGCCCAGAATGTATAAAACGCCGCCTAATTTTAATTCTGCCAGTCCCGATAACTCGTGCTGAAATTTAAAATAAATTATGCACAAATGTGGTAGGAATGTGATATTTAACAAAATGATTCGATACGGCTTAAGTGAAAGTGATCTGAAGTTCCAGTCTGATTTAAACAGACTATGATGAGCTATTCTGAACCACATTAAATATGGATTTTTCATAAAAGTTCATCTTTTTAGCTTCTAAGCTGATTGTTAAAGCTTCTAGTTAAATTACGCCTCTATATGGAGAATCAATTGGGCGTCTAATACTTGAGAACAAATGTATAATAGCAGTGTGTAAATCTAATAAATAATCTGCATAAGTTTAAATTGTATCATAATTTTATATTGTAAATTTGTATATTTCATTTTTGTATATAGTACGCAAGCGCTTCTAAGAGTTTTATATAAAAGTCTGACACAACAATATCAAGAAAAAAGTTTTTATAACACACCGTTTGCAAAATTTTGAACACAATTCCCTTACTAGTGTAAATCCCGCGCAAAACGAATATTCGCAGTTCACTACAAGCTTGAACAAAGGCATCAAAAGCAAGTCTATAAAAGTTGAAATATCTACATTTTGTGATAAATCGTATAATGGGATTCAAAATTTTCTATCCTATAAATAGATAAATCAATTAACTGAGAATTTAGGCAATCAAGATATTAACACCTTCAAGATCGCATCGAAAATCATGTTTTACTCGTGGAGACCGCACTAAAAATTGTTAATTTCAGGTCGAGCGGTCTCGCGATGTAGTTGTTTCTTCTACGTGTTAAGCTATGAAAACTTATTATGATATAATTTCGTATAACACAATATCAATTCAACTCTTACATCAGACAGTAATATCACAATGGAGGGTCCTACTCCATGATTAAGTACAGTAGGGTCTCAAAGGTCTTGTATCTCTCATGAAATATTTGTTGGTACAGAATGCCCAAAGCAGCAAGGAGCCAAACTACCCAGCGCATGGCTACTATAACCGTGGTCATCTGAGGCTCTGGCGTGATAGTGAGCCAAGGAAAGTAACTGCCAGCTATGAAGACGTAGATCATGGCCCGATCGCATCGGTGAAGGGCGTCCTTCAGTTGCCTGAAACAATAATTCCTTTCCAGGGTTAATGTTAGTCCTCAAAATAATAGTTCAAATAATAATAATAAAATGCCTCGAAATAAATGACCGAAAAGAAATTTACATTATAATATGACTAGCAAACCCGACGAACTCCGTTTCGCCACCAGATGGTTTCGTGAGAAAGATGAAGAAATTTTTTGTTTGTTTTATATTTGAAAAGGAAAAAATTGATTTTATTGCACAACAGTAATGAATTTATTTCGATTACAAAAATGAAGTGTTTTTAGTTGAACTTCTCTAAGTAAATGAAAGTGAATCCGCAAATTATCCGTTTCATTGAAGTGCTCTTTGGTAAACCACATTTTTTGTTTTTTGGTCTGACGTTAACACAAACAAAGCGGATGGTTTTCCAACTCGTGAACAGGGTATAACATGTATAACTGCCCATGTAAAAAACAATGATTTTCTAAATAATCTATTTGAAATTTATCCCGCAAACACTAAGCGATTGGCCTTGCGACTTGTTATTGCGAACGCAAGGCGAACTGGAAATTGCAATTGTTTGAAGTCAAACGGAAAACCAGTCGGAATTATTGGTATGTCACCAAATCGCCAGCAATTTTTGATTGAATGGTGAAATTCAGTGCGTGTACATCATTATTCTTTGCGGCAAGAATTGCTAGTTGACTTAACCAAGCATAATTCTGATAATTCTCACTAATGTCATTACTCGAAATTTTAATTACTGTGCGTGAAATTCCAGCAATTTGCATTAGGGCACGATGCCATGCACCACTAATTTTCTTAGCTATAAACCTTGCGGAGCCCGAGACCTTTCCAACGAATGCAAAATTGTCGAAATCGGTTCGTGCGTTCTGGAGTTATTTCGTCAGGAAGGAAAACCCGACTTATTTTTATATATAGAAGATAATCTATTTGCAAAGATTTAAAACAATTATTGATTATTTTTTTTACTCGAATTTTTAATTACGGTGCGTGAAGTTCCAGCAATTTGCATTAAGGCACGATGCCAAGTACCACTATTTTTCTTAGCTATAAACCTTGCGGAGCCCGAGACCTTTCCAACGAATGCAAAATTGTCGAAATCGATTCGTGCATTCTGGAGTTCTTTCGTCAGGAAGGAAAACCTGACTTATTTTTTTTATATATAGAAGATAATATATTTGCAATTATTTAAACAATTATTGATTATATTTATTACTCGAATTTTTAATTACGGTGCGTGAAGTTCCATCAATTTGCATTAGGGCACGATGCCATGCACCACTAATTTTCTTAGCTATAAACCTTGCGGAGCCCTAGACCTTTCCAACGAATGCAAAATTGTCGAAATCGGTTCGTGCGTTCTGGAGTTATTTCGTCAGGAAGGAAAACCCGACTTATTTTTATATTTTTTTATATTATATATAGAAGATAATTAATTATTAAAGCAAACAGTTTTTTTCATGAGATGAACGAACTAGTAACTTATGAATGATGATGCTTTTGCGCCTTCGAGCGCCTAACCTTCCCATAATTGTATCACAGTGATTATGATTTGAATCAGAAATTAATCGTCAATTTTTTAAATAGGAAAATTACAGAACATTGTCGAAAATTGTGTTAACTCACTTATTTTATTGCAGTAGAAAACTGAATGGAAGAACGTGGATACAGTGAGCAGCATGGTGAGTGCAGCGCCGTAGATGATTGCCGACAAATACTGGGTAGTATTTGTGGACCTTCGCAGCAGTTCTAAACCAGCCAATATACTAGGAACAACCCATACACCGTGCGTGATGACATTTGCTATGTGCTCCACCTGAAGTAACAAATAATGGTGAATCAAAAAAATTTAATAATTTTGTACAAAATATTTCTAAAACATTATAGCACAACCACGAGTTGGACTTGACTGAATTGAAATATGATGAGTTTTAAATTCTTTGGAAATAATTGAATATTTTGAAACGATTTAGATTACTGACGTGAAAGTTAGGAATTCCTTTAAAGACGGTATAAAATCTTTTTTAAAGGATTTGGAAAAGTTGTTTTAAAAAACCAAAAAGATATTTTTCAAACAGTTACGTAAAATCGTTAAAAAAATATTCAAACCATACAATTTCAATATCTGTTAATCAAAATCATATATTTTTGTAAAAATATCATGAATTAAGTTATAACCCCTTGCACTCCATAGGCGCCGCTGTTGCCAAATGCTTTTATTGCACTAACTCCAAAATTCAAATTGTATTCGTATGGTAACACATGGCAAACATGATAAGAAATGATTCTTTTCAGTAAAACAAAATATAAATTTCAGACGCTTGAACGCAAAGTAGCTGCGCTCATTGGTAAAAACAAACGCTCAAAGTGCAAAGGGTTAAACCATTGTATCCGCAACTGAAAAAAAGGTAAAATTCTCGTCTGAAGTAAAATTATTGGTGATTGATTTCCTTTGTATTTTAATGTAAACTAATGCGCATATTTTATTTAAAAAAAGTAAGTCAAAATGGATTATTAGACACATGTAACCTACGTTTATTTACCTGGGTCGGAATGTATGCTTGATTTGCACAAGCCTTTTTATTCATCCAATTGACGTCCCGCAGCTGTTGCCACGGAATCGACATTCGAAAATGTATAGGTCCTCGTTTTATATTTTCCTTCATTTCTGAGAATCATATAACAAATTTATGAATTAGTGAGAACAATCAAAAACTATATAAACTAATGATCACCAGCTACTTTAATTAATAAGTATTAAAAAAACGAATAACCTGAATAATAATAGCTAAATAATCATAATAATAATATAAAAATGACAGTATAATAATCTATATCAAATATTGGATATATTTATCTGTATCTCTGTGAAAAATATCAATCATGTGTTGCAAAGACAAATATGTAATGTAAATGAAACCAGAACTTTAATGGTAAAATAAATTTATTACTTTGATAATATTTACATAACAGTATTCTATTTATACAATAATCAAGGTATAATTATTCCTTGGGCAGGCAGTCGAAATAGAATGATTTGTTGAAACTTCTTTCTTTTTATACCATGATGGAGATACCCCCTCTTTCACTTCCTAGATATATCCTCATCAGGTCCGCATTCTATATATAATTTTTGTATTCTAACACCTCCCTCAAAATTATATTTATTATACTATTTGCAGTCCATCCATTCCAATTCTCCTCAGACACTCTTCGTGTTTATTTCTAGTCAAACCTTTAGTAAGCATATCTGCTGGCATCTGTTCGCTGCATAGAAATTGAATATTAATTTTCTTATTAATATATTCATCACGTACCTTGTGATATTTAATCCGATATGCTTCGTTCGTGGATGGAACCTATTGTTTTTTACAATTGTATAGCCACTCTGGCTGTCATTATATATTGTAACCGTTTCACTTCCTATATCTAGAGTCTTCAATAATTCGTTTCAAATATATAGCTTCCCTTGTTGCCTCACTCAAAGCTATATATTCAGCTTCCGTTGTTGATTGAGCTACTATTTTCTGTTTTCGCGCTTCCCAACTGATAGGCGCACCTGCAAATATGAAGCAAAATCCCGAATATGATTTATAGTCAACTATGTTACCTCCCCAATCTGCGTCTGCAACTCCAAATAAATTTTGATTTGTTTTCTATATTTCAATCCATAATTCAATGTACCTTTCAGGTACCGTAATACTCTCTTTGCTGCGTTCCCAATGTGTTGTATCGTAATTCGTATTAAATTGACTTAGATACTTCTGCATAGGCAATATCTGGTCTTGTAGTTACTGCCAAATACATTAATGCCCCTATTAAAGATTGATAAGGATACTTTTGCATGATGTATTCATTGGGTTCTTAGGTTTAATCAGTTGGAGTCTAACCTCGCATGGTGTTGATACTATTTTACAATTTTCCTATTAAAGATTTAGTATATTTCTGCATAAGAACTGTTTTAAATATACAAATCCATTTTCCTGTTTGAATTCAATTCCAAGACATCTATCTACTTTGCCTAAGTCTCTCATCTCAAAACATTCAGATAAGATAGTTTGATTTCATTTAACCAATCTTATCATTTGATGCAATTAATAAATCATCAACATAAATAACTATCAATGTAATTTTTCCTGATTTATTGCACATAAACAAACATGGGTCTTGCGACATTGCTTTGAATCCCCATTGTCTGCAACTTTTGTTACAAATTTTTTGTGCCATTGAATACCTGATTGACGTAATCCATATAGTGCTTTCTTCAATAAACATACGAATCTGGGCTTTTCTCAATATTTTTCAGCCAGGTCTTCGCGGTATCTCTAATTTTTCTCAGTAGCCGGTTTTTGAATAGTACCCAATGGTTTCTTATTCACACAATTTTATATAATACTTCATGTAATTGTTCTGGCAGATTCATGTAGACTTTTTCTTCAATTCTCCATTTAAATATGCTTAACGACATCCATTTGAATGAATTTCTAAACCTATTTCCGCAGATAATGCTGCCAATAGTCTAATAGAAGTTTTTGATCGTGCCACCGGAGAATATGTCTCACAAAAATCTTCACCATATTTTTGTGAACATCCTTTTGCAACTAACCGCACCTTTTTTCTATTAGGTTCTCCATCTAATTTTGTTGTAAAAACAATCTGTTTCCAATAACTTTCTTTTGTGGTGGGTCGCTCAACTATGTCCCCATGACATATTTTTGATTTGCGCAAGGTTCTCGTCTTCTAACGCTTTCTTCTCCATTCGTCAGCATCACCTAGCTGACTAGCTTTTCCCAAGTCGTAATATTAATTTTGGATATATTAAAAGATTTTCAAATATTTCACATTTTTTCACTAATCACAATTGTTTTTCGTTTGAAATCCATTTATCAACCTCCCCTTCTCCAGAGGATTCTCTAATGTATCTTCGATCATCTCTTTATTTATTTGATATTCTTTTCGCGGCCTTCCCGCATGACCTGTCCGAATAATCCTAGGACGCCCTTTTCCACGTTTTTGATTGCTGCTGTGCTGGTCTTTCATGGTTTGTATTTTGCTCGACATTTTCCCAATTTTAAATATACATCATAACCATT